AACCATTCAAATCGAACAAGACGTCGTTCAACAATTCAACAACGTAGTTGTCATAAGTTTCAACTTGAGCTGGTCCAACATTTTTTAATTATTATTATTATTATTATTATTACCACCACTCATTCTAAAATAAATAGTTTAAAATTTCAAAATTTCCGGTTTTTAATATTTGATTAAATTTTGCATTTTTTCCTTTTTTTGAAGCGAAATTTAATTTTAATCATAGGGATAACAAAAAAAATTTTTTTATAGATTTTAATACCACTATCAATTGCTATGATGCCATTTGCATTATGTGCACTATTACTTTCTGTTTGTTTTTGTGGTCCAAAAGAGTCTCGAGGTAAGCATTGCTAGCACTTTATGATTCGTTATTTCTTATTGTTATACTAATCTAATCTTTTCAATTTAATTTTTTTTTTCAATTTCAAAAAAAATATATTTTCAATTTAATATTAATTTATTAAAAGTTGAATGAAAAAGAAAAATACAATTATGCATAGAACAACTATAAATTTCGAATTTAACACAGCACATTATAATGAATTAATTAACTGAAAATTTTGTGCTTAAATTTTTGATAATTTTCTATTGTCTGTCTCTTTTGTTTCATTTTAAAGTGATAAGACTGATCATTTAATTGTGTAACTAAAAGTTGAAAAATAAAAAAAGAAGGAGAAGGAAAAACAAAATAGCAAAAGAAAAGAATGATAGAATATTTTTCATTAAATTTAATCTTAATTTTTTCTTATTTCACTTTAAAAAAATTTTTTTTGATCTATTCTTTAATTTCAATCAATTTTTTAATTTGTTGATCTGGTTAAAAAACTCAATCTGTTTTCTAAAAGCAAGAAATTTTTTCATTTTTTTTTTTTGTTTAATTCTGTTTTGTTTTCAAATGTATAATTTTCACTTTTATTTATAATTTTATTTATTTAAAAAAAATTTTTTTTTTTTTGCTTTTCTCGGTTTTTTTTTTAAGGTAAAGTACCAGAAATGTTCAAGAAAAAAGCTAAAATTGATGCAAAAGATGCGAATGAAATCGATAACGAAGAACTCACCTGTAAAAATGGAATAATAATGCGAAAAGATAGTAAAAAAACACGTTTTAGCACTTCAATTTCATTTATTGAAGTAAATTGTGCAAACGATGAATTGATCAGAAGTGATCAATCAATAATTGTTCCTAATGCATTATTATTTCCTGAAACGATGATAGCAACAAATAATGCAAAATCTATTGCTAAAAATGATGAAATAGCACCAATAATAAATGAATTTGATAATCAAAAAGGTTAGATTTTAATTATAAATGAATTATGTTAAAAATTTAAATTTTCTTTTTGCCTTCCTTTTTTCTACTTCATTCATAGCACTATTATAAATCCAATTGAATTGTTTATTTTTTATTTATTATTTTCTGCAGTAAAATATAATATTTGTTCCAGAAGGGAAATATTTAGAAAAAAGGTGGGGGGCAAAAGAAAGGGAGAAAGAGAGAGAGAGAAAACGCGAGAAAGAGATGATAGAAATGAGAGAAATTTAAAGAAGAAAAAATTCTCTTTTAATTGATGAATAAATTCATTAATTTCTTTTATTTATTAAGTATTACATTATATTGATATCAATAATCAATTATATCATTTTCTATAACAATGAACAATCATTTCATATTCAAGTAAATTCTGCTTCGTAAAATGTGACAAACATTAATAATTTTCATTTTCATAATATCATCAATTTAATTTGCATTCAGTTATTAATAGGTTATTTAAAAAATTTTTTCAGAGTTTATTTACTCTTATCTTTTTTGTCTTGAAGAATTTATTGAACTCATAAAATTGATGCTCAATTATGTGACTCTAATTATTAATTATTAATTTATTCACCTGCGATATTGATATTATATGAAAAATATTTTTAATATCATCATATTTTTTATTTTTTTTTGACATTATTTAGCTAATGAATTAAAATTTCATTACTGCTATATATATTTAACTGACCATTTCTTCTAGTCTTTTAGATATGTAACCGATGTTTGTATTAATTCTTCATTTGTAAAATCTTCTTTTGAATCATACTTTAATCTTTTACTTTGTATTTTGCAGAAAATAATGCATTCAAAAGCAGCTGTACACCACGACAAATGAGTTTGAAACATACACGATTCGCAGATAATATTGATATTTTGGGTGTAGCGAAAACATGAAAGTTTTTTCACGCTATTATTTTTATTGTTATCCCTATTATTATTATTTATTATTATTATTATTAATTATTATTATTATCATTATTATTGTTGTTACTATCTTAGTTGTTATAATGAAAGCTAGTTAGGTTTAACCTTTAAATTAATGATTAAATTTGTAATCCTGATTTGGTAACTTTATTGAAAGAGTTGTAAATTTGCATTTTCTTTTCTGATAGAAAGAAGGAAAGAAAAACATAATATGTTATTGTTATTCAAGTGATGAATGAAAAGTGATGAATGACATTAAAATATTGAACTCATTTCCACCACTGCCTTTATAATAGTAATTAATTAATAAATTAAGTAATTAATTTATTGTTATTATCGCTGCTTTTTATTATCATTATTCCTATTCCATCTGTTGTAATACGACGCACATTTTTGTAAACTTATAGCACTGAAAAAATTTTGAAATAATTTCTTAAAACTTAACCATATGATAACAGTGTTAACTGATAAAAATTCCATACCATACAATGATTCATTTTTTGGTTGCTGTAATTATCCCATTTATTTCTATCTACTAGTAAGACTATTTTATTTCATCTTATTTCTAAAATTCTTATCAGTCATTTCAATATTTAAAATATTTCACTACAAGTGAAAAAGATTATTGCGGGTTGTTTTCTTTTTCTTTTTTTTTGCTTAATACAAAAAGTATTTTCGCATAATTAAATAATATAATTATTTTGAGTTGAAATATTGTTTATTTCATTTTTCCTATTTCTTTACTTTTATTTTTGGAAGGAAAAAAAGAATTCTATAATATGAATTGTCTTCTCAACTTCAATCCTTTTTTCCATCTAAAAGATCCGGTTTCATTAATAAAAATCAAACGAAAACTATTACGTTCCACTTTTTTAAAAAAAATTATATTTCTATCCAAATTTTTAACTTTTCCATCTCATGCTTTTTTAATTTTTTTTTTTTTGTTCTTGTCAAAAAAAAATTCATAAATTAAATTTTAGCATGGTTTATAATCAGCAAAATAGCTACAACTTTCCTAGATGAAGTTTAATTTATGACATTTTTCTAAATTTTAACAAAGAAAAAAGGAAAAAGTCATCTGACACAATATATGATATATTCCATGCTGAAATATATATGACTACAATACATTTCGTGATCTTTTTAAAATTTGTAATTGTATTTTTTTTCTTTTTTCAAAAATGATTTAAATGTGACACTGCTGCAATTCATACTTAGAAACATAGTGTTCCCATTTTTTTTTATGTTCGTATACATGAAATTACACTTATTTTTGTATCATCAAATCAACAAATATAGTAGTTAGAGCTTAGGGCAGCACAGTAATTAATAATTTATTACAGAACAACATCTAAAACTATATAACGAAATTGAAACTAATTTCAATATCCTCAAAATGTATCAACTTTGATTAGTCAGACTAATTAATATTTGAGATTAACAACTTTTTTTTTTAGTATGGCCTGCATTAAAATTACAAGGATAATAACATTTACATCACTCATATTTGGTTTACACTCACTAAACAGCAAAATGCTCTGAAAAAAAAATTAAGATCCACTCCACATTATAATATTTTTGTTGAAAATTTACAAATTTGGTAGTGATTAAATTACGAATGAGAAATGGTACCATGTTTTACTGCATCACAGCTATCACTAAATTGTATAAACAATATTACAGTCAAAAATTAGCGGAACAATTTCTCACCATTTAACTGCACAGGATTCATTGAATTCCAATTTGACAAAAAATGAAAATAAGAAATAAAACAAACACCGTTTGCCATTTAACCACTGATAATCCCGTGTAGTGCTAAACTATTAATGAAACTAAAACATTTTTTAACATATTTTTTTTAGGACAGAATATCCAATAAATTAATATCGTATTAAGATAGAATTAATACAATCGTATTAACAAAAGAAGATACATTGTCAATAAATGGACATATTGAATTGAACAATTTACAGTTTAAAAAAAATGATCGCATAAAAAAATAATTTGCAATTCAAAGTAATTCACAAATTAATGTTGAATAAAAAGGAAAAAAGTATTAATCCAACTTAAATAATATATCGTATTAAGATACCACGAGTATAAATATGTAAATGACCGACATAATTTTTGAGACAAATTTTCTCCAGATAATTCAGCATTTCTTAGAAAGGTATACTCGTGGTATGGCTTAAAACTGCTGTGACAAAAAGGGAATGAATATGAAACACTAACATAGAAAAATAAAAAATAATTTTCATTCGTATGCACACTAACGACAGTGAAATTAAATGATGAAACGAAATAAAAATAGCTATTTATGAAAGTGAAAGTGCAATGAAAGTACCAAACTTTTTATGAAATATGCATAAACTTGTAGATCAGATGATGAAAATAAATGTAAAAATAAGTTACACGACAATTTACTAATGCTAATTTAAATGATAGGAAATGATGAAAAATATATATGAATGCACCTAAAGTGAATTCAAATAAAAGCAGATGTAATTACATGGTAATTATGAAATAACACCGAGTGAGAAGTAATTTAAACCACAACTAACAAATATTCTATTAAATTTGGTCATTTGAAATTCGAGAAAAAATTAGCATGTTATTTCATTTACACGTTTTAATCTTTGAAAATTTATAGTATATCTAACAAAACAAATTATGCTATGCTTCTGTAATTCACTTCACAGTAGAAGTATTTTTATTATTTACAATATATTAATGCATTTCAGAAAAAAACAAAAATAGATTAATCTTTATCAGCATAGTACTGATATCGATTAGGTCGAACACGCAGAGAATGTCGTTCTGATGACTGCCTGTCATTAGTGATATAAGAAGTATTACGATCATAATGAACAGCTTCCAGCTGATTGGATTTCGCTGGAAAATGCGCTTGTTGATCGTGTCGCAAATATCCACTACTCATTGCGTCCGATGGATAATGCCGATGGTGATAAAATTGTAAATCCCTGGTATTACTATCATAATTAAGATGACCGGTTGTTGTCTGAGTATCATACATTTCTCTTCTACAATTAAAATATACATATATCATTGGTACATAAAAGAAAAAGAATGATATATGTATATAAGAAAAAAAAAAACGATCAAAGATCAAAAATCTCTACTGTTAAAGTATGAAAAATGAAGAACATTCATATTTAGCGTCAGTAACTGCAATATTAAAATTCGCTAACTTTTTCATGATTTTTTTTTTCAAGTCATAAGTAAAGAATTAAAGAAAAAAATATCTTATTATCTTCTAAATTGTGCAGTGTTATACATATTTATATTTCTTTCTCCTATCCTCTTTTATCTTTTCTATTTTCTCTATTTAATGATATCAAGAGAGCAATAATCAGAATGTCATCTCTTCATACCTCATCATACATATTATGACATATCCAGCTAGAATAATGTAGACTTATTTTTAATTGCAAAATTATTTTTTCGAATAATTTCAAATAGCTAACAACATAGCTACTACAAATACTTCTATTTGGATAACACTTTTTGATCCTAAATATCATTAATACATTTGCTGTTTATTATTTACAGGAATTGTTTTTCCAAATATAAAATCATATAATTACAATGTAAATACAAATAATGATATACCTCACTGGAACACTATAATACCGCCGCTGTGGAAGTGATGATGACGAGCTATCAATAGTATCGCCAACTCTCACACAAGTAACATTATTTGGTAATTGAAGTACTCGTGTTTCGATCTAGAAAAGATTTCGAAAATAAAATGACCAATTTCAAGTCATCCTTCGTGATTATTTCAAGTCAAGTCACTCATGCAATCTGCAGATATATAAACTTGAGATTAACATGAAAAAAGCATTGTAACGATCAATCCTTACAAAAAAAGAAAACTAAATTCGAGTTGTTTCAAATTATTAGGCCAATGAGTATGTATTAAGATTAAATGTGCTATAATGAATGTTCAATTCGAGTTAATTTTATGATTTCCATTTTAACATTAACATTAACTACGAAATTCCCAGTTCGATAATAAAATGAAACTATGATCCTAATGTTAAGTGCCTAACTTCATCATACTAAGAAAGTAGTCTCACTTCATTAATCCGTTGCTCTGGCTTACTTTCCTCTAATACTGAATTGTTTGGACTGTATTTATATCGTCTATCAAGTGAACTATTCCCATCGTGAGCCTTAAAAATGTTATCACCATTGATACGTCCTTGATCATTGGTCAATTTTATCTGCGACAAATCACTGGAATTGCAACTGTTTGGTGTGGATGACGGTACATTATCATAAAAGCTACCACGATGCGTACGCCGAAATATAGGTTCACAAGTTTCATCATTATCATCATCAGATTGGCTTCTGCAATAAAAGTAATGAAACGTAAGCACTAGTGGTAAACGAAGACTGCATGCAAAAGATCAGTAAAATTAAGACTTTCTTTTGAAAAAAAGCAATAATTAAAATATTTTACAAATTAGAATTAAGTAAAATTAGAAATCAAAATACAGAAATCACTGAGGGCGACCAACACGAGCTAAATACGTATCAACAGTGATTCGATTATATTCAACTATGATTTGAAACACAAAATAAAACAGTAAAACCTGACTAAATATAAGATATACTTCAACAATTCTTAATGATTCAGAATTTAAATTTCAAGAATGAATTCGATAAAAACCTGAATTTAGAGATAACATGGTCTGATTCGAAAAATCTAGATGCATAATCATTAGGCGCAACTTCATTTCGCTTTAAGGAAATGAAATTATCGGGAGTACGAAAGAATGAAGACTTGACACGGACAGGAGAGTTAATTGTTGAAATAATTCGATGCATGGAGCCGGATGAACGTCCCGGTTGAATACAAAAAGACGAATCATTATAATCAATAGGTGGCTCTTTCGGTGGTAGCTGGTATAACTAAAATTTTTAATTTAAAAAAAATTTTAATTTAAGTTTTTAAAATTTAAAACCAATTTTCTTCGACCAGTGGCTAAATTTTGCAAAGTTTTACTAGCTTGTTTTAAATTTATTCAAAGTCTTCATTTTTTGATATCGCTCTATAGTTGCTGCTTACACACAACGAAAATAAGTAGAAGATAGGATTCTACAAAAATTAGAAATGTTAAAAAAATAAAAGGAATTCTAAGAACTATTAAAAAGAATATTCAAACTCTAACTACATATTATCACTAATCAGTTTGACCATGAAATTTTATATCTAGACAAATTCAAAAATTTTTTTTGAATACTTTTTTTCGTAAATTTCTTAAATAATTCTTCTAACTTCTCGTTTTCCCACTGTTGCAAAATATCGTGCTGTCACTGCTTCATTACAGAAATTTGACTGTCGCATTTGCTGTCCTGTTGGCAACGTTGTCGGTCTCTTATTCAACTGCCTTTGCTGTTGTTGTGGCTGCAGTTGCAGCTGCCTTCTAGATTCATACACCTCTGAAAATGCAAAATTTAAAAATGAAAGTGAACATGAATAATTTCATAGGAAATAACAAATGGAAACATAAAATATTGGGTAGAATTTCAAAGAAGGATTACAAAATCCCAATGTTTTAAACAAACACATATAAATTACTATTCTCAGAAACATAACAACTAAAGAACAGTTAAATTTGATATACTATTAGTCCATAAATGAGATGCAGTAATTTAAACAGCAAATAACACTAGTATATATTAATTTACCATATACACTAGCAATAAAAAGCTATTGTACTGCTTTAACAGATTATCAGTGAATGAAAATTACTACCTTCATTATTTGCATGCGATAAGGATGATACATGAAGTGGTGACGGGTTTCTTTCATTCATCCGTATATCGTGCTGTACTTCCTGAACAGTTATTGGTCGCGTTGTTTTCACTTCAATTCGTTTTGCAAGCATTGGGTTTTGTTGTTGTTGAAACAATTGTGAGAAATTTTCTCGACTTTCCGGCAGGTTTGTGTTGTTTGTTGTATCAGTAAGAACTTTTGTTGTATGTTGCTGTTCTCTTGAATTTGTATCTTTCACAGTACTTGTTGAAGAGATACTTGATTGCGAATTTTCCGGCACAGTAGGTTCCATACGTCGAGGTGGTAACTGCGACAATTTGTATTTTGAGAGAGGTGTTGGAGATGGTGGCAACCGTTGTCGACGTACACCAATCGGTGATCGTCCAGCAACGGCTAAAAAAAAAAAAAATTTGAATGCAAAATCTGAATAAGCTAAACTAGAAATAAACAAAGACTACACTTTAGCAAATTAAAAGATTACGTTGGAAATTTTACTTGCAATTCGAAAGTCATTCCACGTTTCATCTAACGTAAAAACTTGGTTAATAATCTCATTACTTTACCTAGTATTATAACTTACAGTTAGCACGTGAGCAACGGCTCTGTATTTCAGCAATATCCAAACGAATATCAATCATTGAACGACTAAGGATAGGTCCAAACGGTTTCGTTGGTGTTTCAGGTGCATCACCAGCTTTTGGTGATGCTGGTAGCAGCATCCGATCGTTCTGAAATACTGAAGATTTTATATCATAAACCTCATCAAATACAATTAGCTTTTTCGATTTTAATTAAAAAAAAAAAAATACAAAATTCATAAGCAATTATATGAGATGTAAAAACATTCAGCAATTCAAATTTCTACGAAATTTTAAGATAAAAAACAAACATGCAATTTTCTGAGACAGTCTTGTAATGATTTCATTGTTTCTTCATCAGAGAAACCAAAATCCTGAGCAATAACAGTTTGAATATATTCCATAAAATTCTCCATTTGTAATTTTCGCATCGTTTCTGGAATGAGTCATAGGGTTCTGCTAAACATGATAAACTATTTCAATTCCAGATTTCAAATGATAAACTATTTCAATTCCAGATTTCAAATATTTCATTTAATAATAATAAAGGCAGATATGTAAAACAAATATTAAGAATATCAAGCAACGTTTGATAAAGGATGGTACTCAGTACAGTTAAGCCAAGTCTAACGTTTCTTTTTTTTGTTGTAAGTAGTATAGAGAGGCTAACAAAAAAAAAAAAAAAAAAAAAAGAAACTAAAAATATAAAGAAGTTAAATAACCGCACTCACTTTCATGCATTCTCATAATGTTGTATGCCATTGCAATTAATATCACGTCTCCTTCCAAAAGGAAAACATCCCATAATCGTAATGCTAATGGAAATGGAACCCGATCTAGGAAACAGCCAAACCACCATTTTGTAACATAAATTGATGGAATACCAGCTTTATCCTGCAAAAAAAGAAACAGTAGATGAGCTTAGAGAGAAAGAGTACAAACTGAAAAAGGAATATTACATTTATTAACCAAGCCTAACCAAATGAGGATGAATACATAAAACTATCACATCGGAATTTCTTTTTTTAAAGTTCAAATTTATAGTGCTAAAGGAAATTAATTGGTAAAAAGAAAACTAACTAAATGCTTTTTTAAACGTGGAAGATATTTCTGTAATATTTTTTCATAATGTGTTTGAAAGCGAACCAATTTCGGAAAACCGGGAACAAAAAATCCTGCAAGTTATTGATCACTTTGCTTCATTGAAATTTCAAGATTTAAATTTGATCGACTGAATAGTGTTCAATTCTGTGCAATAGCTTTAAATACACAATCAATCTTACCATGCATTGAATGCTTTTTATCAACAAGTAATGCATGCAAGCACCAAAATGCATCCTCCTCATCCATATACATTAGGAAAAGCGCTGCTATTTGGCTCATTCCTTGACAATAACCTACTTCTGTATTATACATAGCATATGCAGATAATACATTGAATAGAGATTGCTGCCTGAAAACAATGAAAACCATTTGTAAATATCATACTTCAGTGACTCAATAATTCAAAATTCAATTAAACAAATATAAAAATTCTCACTTTACATCGTATCTGCGGCGAAATGCCAAATGATCTCTATATGTCCGATTAATATCTAGATCTATTTGTTTGATATCTTTTGAAATAAGCCGTGCACGCATCAATAATTCGCGATAAACATTATTTTTTTGTTCCTGTCGATAACGATTAATTTCAAGTAACCTCGTCCATACCTGTCAATTCATATCAATAATTCAGTTAACAAATAGGCGATAAAACCAAATAAACTATACCAGTGAAAGCACTGATATATCGTTCAGTACCTTCGATTAACTAACTGATTTTTCTGCTTAAAGTTGTTTAGTAGATAAGAAATAAATCCTGAGAAGGAAAAGATAAAATTCCATAATAAATATCACTCTTTGACTTTCTACTAACCATTGTATTTCTATCATCTTCAAGCGACTATAGTTATTCGTTGTATTCAAAGAATTATCAAAAGAAAAATTTTATGCTTCCACTACACTTAACAGTGATAACATTGTACTTAAATTCTAACGCCAAACAAAAATTTGATTTATCAATTTTTGAGTAGTAAATTTATATGCTTTACTATTCAGTTTGAGACAACAAATTTTAGTGATACTTTTAAAACATATATTCCTATATCTGATATTTTTACACTCAAACGGTGAGATTTATCCGAGATACAAAGCTTACGACAGACAGATAACTATGATACACGTATCTTTATGATCCACAAAACAAGTTCTACGAATTTAAACGTACAAAATTACAAAAAGCTTACCAACGACCTGAATTTTTCAGGAACACCTTTCCAAAGGCGTTTTTTCAACTTATCGTTGGCACCCCTTCTATCATTCCATCTTGACATCATCCGTAGCCATTTCTGCTCACGTGAAACTTCTTTTGTCATTCGTTTCTTTTCTGCTAACTGTTGCACACTGATTTCATGAGCATCTTTGCTAAAAAGAAAATTCAATAATTTGCACAAGCAAATATAAAAAAAATGTTATCAAAGCAAATATTTTTCATCAAGTAATTGTCGAAAACACTGAATTAAACAGCAATATTAAGTCAAAAAAAATCAAATTAGAGAAATGCATACTGCATAAACCCATATCTATCAGTAACTTTATATAACTCGAGATCAGGATTTTCCCATTCTTCCACTTCTTGTTCAGGCCCCTGAAAAAAACTTATCGCTATCATTTCCGCACTCATCATTATGCTAAAAAAATGAAAGTTTTGGTGGATCACACTAAATTATTGCAATGTCAACTGCCAAAAAAAGTATAATGTAGCAAAGATCTATTTTTAAATTTTTAGGTTTTTTAGAAATTTTCAAAATGCTTAAAAACCTTGTACTGTCAGACTAAAATCAGATAAATGCAAAATACTAATAACCTAATAAACAGATAAATGAAACAAAACAGTCTTAGATCTATCCAGGAACTATAAGAAGAAATATTACAGCAAATAATCTATTCATTTTATTTAGTTATAAGTAAAAATTAAATAATCGAAGTGGTTTGCTTTAATATTCATTTGATCATAACAAACAAAGTACTCTTTCATATTTTTCAACAATTTGCGAGCGTTCTTCCAATTCTCGAAATTCTGGATCATCATCGGATTCATCACTTGATGTCGCTTCCGTTTCATCATTTATTGCTTCTAAAAAAGGAAAAAAAGGAACACTCCAACAAAATTAAGAGGTTGAAAAATTTTTTTTTTCTTACATCACCTTATCTTATTATCCTTTATTGCAGAAACTTTCAAGAAATATTTTTTCTGAAATTTAAAAATAAAAATAAAAGGAGAAAAAAACACTTTGAAACAATGAAATTAATATCATTCAAAATCATTACTTCGTACTGTCGCTCAAAATATCTTCATTCTTAAACACAAAGTTATGGTAGATTTTAACAGTACAGCAGTATTAGTACATTTTTCTTTCATTATTACGGAGTGAAAATATGATTAAATTTTACAAATTACTATTGCATTTTATTACATTCTCCATACTCATTTTCTTTTTCACTGTTTTTCACACTCAATATAAGAATTAATTTACCGAAGAGTAAAAAAAAATATTTGCTTTCTCGACGAAAGCTTTTCAATAAAATATTCATCAAAAAGCAACAGAAACAACATGAGAAACAAGCTTACGAACATTTCTAATAGTATGAAAACTTAAAGTTTCCAACTTCACGCGTTCAATATTCAAGAAAAGATGAAAAAATAAGTAAAAAAACTAATGAAGTTAATATCCAAACCTTAATTCTACATTTAGATTCTGAAAGAGTTGAACAGAAATCGAAATTTTCGAAATAATCAAAGCAATCGTTAAGATTCTTAACATTATTATTTACTTTTTTATTATTAGTAATATTGATTATTACCACTATCCTTATTATTTATTATTGTTATTACCATTATTACCTGTATGATTCGTTATAAACATTTTCCTAATGAAATCATTTACCATAAACAATTTCATGTACACATCCAAATAATCACGTAATTAAGTTGTAGAAAACCTCTCAGTACCTTCTCGTCCATACAACAATTTTTGAATGATTTGATCAATATGAAACAGGAAGTAAACATAGCAATAAAATTTCTTGTATTAATTACAATAACACTAAGATAACTCACAACATACATCCAAACAACAAATAGTATATTTATGATGTGACTGATGTTGATAAATTTAGCAAATGATAAATGGACAGAGTAAAATAAAATGTTGAAAATTTAAATAACATGAAATTAAAAAATTTGGCAGTTGCATGAAATTTAACCATATAAAATAGATTCTATACAATACAACAATAAAAAGGGACAAAATTTCGTATATCTAAACTTGAAAATGCAGCAAAAATTTTTATGACATCATATAAACTATCGTCGATTCATTCATTCCTTTAACCGATTGTTGTTAATCTTACAAAAGATTTTTGTTGATAATTTCACTGACTGCATTCGCTAATGCAAAATCAAGATAATTTCCAGAGAAGAATATCATGATTTTTTTCAAGAATTGTTTTCTAAAGTTGAAACATATATGTTAAGTAAAAAAGAAAGTACAAAAGAAAGTCTGTTGCAATATAAAAAAATTCTTATTGATGGCGATACTTCTTGAAAATATGCTGCAGAAATATAGCATAAATCATCTAATATAGTATTTCGTATAACCAAAATATTTCTTCAATTATTCACATAATGCAACAAAAAACTGATAAAATACTACTCCATCATCAAAATATTTTCATGGTAATTATGATCACACCATTGGTCATAATCCTAAAATACTTCTAATTACTGGCTGATGAAAATAATATGATATAATTCGAGACATACAATAACATATTTGCATTAAAAATAATTTCTTTTGCACATAAACAAGATAAATTATCAAATAAAAAAGAAGAAAAGATGTCTCTGTTGAGTGTAATTTAATTCCCAGAATTATTGAATTATGTTATCATAATAACATCTATCAACTGATTTCTTTATTTTCCATACTTTTTTAAGTTATTTTATAGGAAATTATGCATTGTTCATGAACTGATATTAATGTGAACTTTTGCGCGAAGTCATCTTGTATCTATAAAATAAATTATAAAAAGTAAAGTTTGTTACTCCCATTTTGCTCAATAATTCAAATAAAATAACTTTGGTCAGCTTCCGTTCTCAATGATTCTCTCACATTAATGTTATAGAATAAAAAGGAAGGAAGAGGAGAGATGAAACGAATACAAAAAAAGTAAGGGAAAAAAGATTCAAAAAAAAGACATCAGACTGGAAGAAGTTGATAATCTTTAAGTTCATTTAGTTGTTTTTTTTTTCTTAAAGAAAAACATCAAAAAATAGTTGAAGTATTCAATTCCTTGATTTTACTATACCTCATAATTAAATATTTAAACAAATTTAGCCGCATTTAATGTAAAATTAAAATACAAGAAATTATTAATGTAACAAAATAAAAAGTTACAAAGGATGAATTTAGATTTCAATTTTAACGAATGGGACTTTATTTTTTCTTAATCTATCAAAAAATTAGTAAAACATTTAAAATTTAATCCACTGAAGAAAAATATTATAAATCAATCAATAGTTCTATAAATAAAAAGGGAAAAATATATTTGACTTAATTCTAAGATGATTTTATTTGCAGAAGACATCGATAAGTAAACTTCCGATAAAATTAAATTTTTTTTTTTTTAAAAATGCTCAAATAAACAGTCTACATTTAAAAGTACACACTTCACACTAATATGTCATCATGGCAATTTCCACTAATAAAAACTTATTATTCCATTTCTAATTATATTGACAATTGCAACAATTAGAAAAAAAATCTTATATATGTATGCTTAAGACAATCCGCAATATATATTATTTTATACTATTTAATGTCTGATATAATGTTTTGAATAATGAATAATGTCCATGTTTCATTTCAGATTATTCTTTCTACTTTTCTTCTATTCAAATGAATATTTATATTATTCAAATAAAAACTGAAATGAAATAGAACAGAAACTTAAAAAATGACAAGCATAAAAAATCAAAAATTAAACAATGCTTCGATCCGTTTAACTCATTTTTCACAATTTATTCATATGCTGCGCTTCTATATCAGAGTAAACTATTTCCCCTACTTTTTTTTCATTTTTTTTTTTTTTTTTGGTTTATTTTTTTAATATTTTAGATAGTAGATGAGAAGAATGAAAGTACTATTTATTATTTAGCTGATATATAAAGAGACAAGCTAAATTATCTGTTGAATGAAGAGAGAGAGAGAGAGAGAGAGAGAGAGAGACGGAAGTACATTAATGATAAGTTGTGTATCACTATGAATTTTTTTATGTTAAAAAATTGTTGTGAAAAAAATTGTGAAAAAAAATTGTGAAAAAAGTTGAAACAGTGAGAATCAAAAAATAAAAAAAAGGAAAAAGAAAAGACAGCTGTAACATGTGTCTAAAAAAAATAAATAAATTTTTGGAATTTTTATTCTGAAAAAAATAAAATTTATAGTTGGTGTAAGTGATGACATCTCATTCCTTTCATTTCTTTCTTTTTTTTGACCAACAAATGTTCAAAATTGCATTGTTATAATAGCAGACAAAAACACACATACATACAATATAAAAGTTCATGCAACTATAAAATGTTTTTGCAAAGTTCCACAGAACATAAAAGTTTTATTTGCAAAACAAGAATGAAGAAAAAAATCTAAAAAGAAAATAAATATTACGAAAGACAGTATGAGTAAGCCAAAACCTTTAATCAATAGATATTTCCCTAACAATAAAATATGAATATTAAAGCAAATTTTAGCTACTACAAAAAAAAAGATACTGTAAACGAGTGAGAATATTTCATCCGTTGAATTTTTACAAAAGATTCAAAATTAGCACAAAAAAAAAGAATGGTATGTTGAAAAACTTGAAAGAATAGAAATTATATTATGCAATTTTATTCGACACAATTAACATTTACATTCTTTGCTACTTAAATGATTATATTTTATTAGTGAGCAAATTTCCAACAGTAAAGTAAAGAATATAAGTAAAACATTTTTCGCAAATTCATGGCAGAAAAAATGAAAATTTAAACAATTTTATTCTAGGAAAACAAAAAATCCTAATTATTTTTTTAAAACGTTCACTAAAAAAAAAAAAAAAAAATTGCAATCAAAAATTATCCTTCAATGATTAAACAATTCCTATTTCCCTATAAAATTAGTTTTAGCATTAATTCTTACATGCAAACATACTTTACTCGATGATTTAAAAAAAAGAAAGTAATAAATATAAAAAGATTTAATCGGTCATTATTCATCATTAATTGATGATAAACAAATTAAATATAAAAATAACCAATAAAAATAGATTTAATTCGCCCAAAACTTAAAATATATTACGGTTTTTTAAAAGTTAATTTCACAACATAAAAATATACCAAAATGTTCCTCCATATGTCTTTCGATTCTGGCATCTTCTTCCGTATCCAAACTGTTATCCAAAATATCACTTTCTCGTAAATCCATCAAATGCATACAGTTGGAAGAAATAGTAGTAATGGCAGCAGCACTAGTAGTAATAATAGTAGTAGTAACTGCAACAGTAAAAATAGCACTTAATCCTGATGATAATGATAACGATAATGATGGTGGAGATTGCATGAAATAACGATTTCCATTATAATTATTACCATTTGTTTTATGCTACGCTTTTGAAATCATTGAAATAGTCCTACTCACCTGTGTCGGACATACAAGCTGTCCTTAACTAGTTACCAACAATTGTAAATTATTCAACATTTAGAACATTCCCTGAAAAAAAAAAGAAATCAATGAATCGCTTCATCTAGAATATTCTAACATAAAATATGCATAATCCTTGGTTAGATTAAATAAGCATATATAAGGAAATATTAATGATCAATAATATTTTAACGATTTTCTGTAGATAATGTTCCTTTTTTAATAAATCAAAGGCAGTTTTAAAATATAACAAATAAATAAACGTGCTTCGCAAAATACATGAAATATGAATCAATAACTATAAATTGAACAAAATTCTCAAGAAACAGAATAAATTACACATGAAAATGAATATTCCCAAGTAGTTAACAAATAGAAACTTAATGTAACATTATCTAAAAATTATATGAAAATTTGAAAATTTTTGCATGAATTTTTTAATTCATCAAATTTTCGTAACAAAAAAAAAGAAAAGTTTTGTTTAAAAAAAGATAAAACATGTAATTAATTTTTGTACAACAAAATTTGTTACAATATTATAATTGAATAATTTATAACATATAATTTTCTCCTTTGCTTTCTTCCTTTTTTTTAAAAAAAAAAAATTTTATTCAAAATAATCAAAATGATAAAATGATAGGTGAAACCTTATGTTTATTTCCAATTTAACTCATTTAAATTCATTACATATGCATTAATAACATATGCATAAGACATATAAATGATGTATATGTTACTTATCTTTTAAAACAACAAAGTATTACAAATGAACAATATTTTACATAAAATGCATAAACATTATTAATAAAACATCAAATTCATTTTTTTAATCTTTTTTTATTTTTTCATTTCGTTCTTTTCATAGTTATAAACAAAATAAAGAAGGTTGTCATTTATGGTCACACCATAAATAGCACTCACAATCAATATATCTCATCATTTTGCCATTTAGTTATTTATGCAAAATGCTTTAGCAGTCTTGAGAAAAGCCATCAACTTCATCCTCTCATTCTATCATTACTGATGATTGTAATGGATCACTGCCAATTTTTTAGAAATAGAAAACAAGTAAATAAATTTATACCTAATATGCAAAAAGTTTTTTCCTTTTTTCTGCAGATCTGCAAATTATTATTTAAAATTATATTTTAAATTAAAAGAAAGAGATAGGAAAAGAGAAGAAAAACAGA